GATAGTGAAACTGTAGAATTCCTATGATTTAAGTACCATCTGGTTGTGCTCAAGGCTTTAAAGCTGTTATCTCCGCATAAAATTTCAGAGTCCTATACTCTTTTTTTCACCAAACTATCCATTTTTAAGCCACAAATATTTTTCCAGCTCTTTCAGATTTTATCTAAAAGTATATTTTAACAGTATTTAAATAGTCCTTAAACAATAACAATTTATCTTGATAGATGGCATGCTGTGTTTTTTCATTTTATTTTAATTAGCCATTGTGGAACCAAATTCCCTTTTGTTTTAGTCTTTTGAATATTGTTTAATTATAGTTATCATGCCAGATATCTTAAAGGTTATTTTACCAATACAGTTTCATTTAATATAACCCATATGGAATCAATAGCCCAGTTTCCTAAAGTGAATGCTTGGAAAATCTTACATTCATATGTTAAGAGTACACATCCTTTCCTCATTAGTTGGAAAGTACAGGGATTTTGGCACAGGTTCTGTGTGGAAGCATTGTGCAGCTTTTATATGGATTTTGTTTTTAGCCTTTGATGACACTGTTTAGAATAGGAAGTATCTAATAAGTAAAGCATTTTGTCTCAAGTGCTGCCAGTGTGTTTAATATATGCCTGGAGGTCTGAAACATTATCTTCTTCACTACAGTAATATGCATTTAATTCTCTGAAAGCAGAAGGTCGAACTTTTAAAAGGGACGCAAAGTACATTTTCAAACAGAATAATTCAAAACATATGGAAGAAGGGACCAGAGTAATGTACAGTTGGTTTTTATGGTTTAATCACGATCATGTTAATGCACACCAGTAGCTAATTAAAGAAAACTTTTATTGTTCATTTTAAATGAGTTAGGTAAAGAATGGGAGAGCTGATGTAACAGCACTGCCCAGAGATACACGTTTCTGCTGCATTCACTAACAGCAAGCAGATATTACTATTTTTGACAACTTAAATTATTAGTCCCCTTGGACAGTAATAAAGCAAAAGTTATTTTCAGGGTTATTACTTTGTGAACTTTTCTTTTTCCACAAAGGAATAGTAAATTGATGCCCAAATTTAGGGCTTAGCACTCAAAATTAATTATAAAACTTTTCTCAGTAGCAGACCAGATACTCTTCAATATAATAGATAAATCTGCAGTAGACTGGTGACAAATCAGTGGATTTTTAAATGTCTCAAAAATCACTAGCTTGTTTATTTCAGTCCTACAAATAGTGTGGAAGCTTAGAAAAATGGTGGAAACCTTGGCTTTTAACCCAGTTTTAAGAATGTAGTTTTCTAGTACTGGGAAATTTGTACTTTTTTTTTCTGTAAGAGTCTGAGTCTTTCATCTCTGGGTCATTGGTTCAAATTCCATTCTGCTCAGTAGTGACTAGAATTAGTTACCATCTGACTTCTGTTCAGTAACCCACATGACCCAGGCTGATAGCTGCCATCCTGTCCCTGCTGGTTATTAATATGTCAAGATCAGGCCACTTAACATTTGCTACTAGAGTCTAATGTGGCAATCACAACACGTAATGGGACTGAACATTAAATTTCTTTATCTTTACCTTCAGGTGGTTTGTTTTGTCATGTTAACCACTGATGGGGAGCTCTTAATTCATTGTAAAGAAGGAGAGACTAGATTTTAAATAAAACCTGTAAATAATAAGAAGAAAATATAATCTGTGCATAAAAATATACTGTGTAGTCTCATGTAGTTAATTATGGTTACCTTTTCTGATTGAGAGAATAAAAACAGTTGAGTTCTTGTTTTGAATTTGCCAAAAACTCAACCTAAAGAAATTTTTTATTTATGCTGTATACAGGTATTTGGTTTGTAATGCCTCAAAACTTGGGCAGTATATCCTAGACTACTTGTGTACTTGATTTCATTAGTTGTGCATGTATTATTTGAGAATTCCTAATTGGTAATGGATTTGGAGGTATATTTTCCATTTTTAAAATAGGGATAACTGAAAGCTTGAAAATGAAGCTGTCATTTTGATAATTGCCTTAATTATTTTTACTTCACTGAATTTTTAAATTAATATGTTTATTCATGTATTCAGGCAACACACAGTTATTAAGTTCTGCTTACTATGTGACAAGCGGTACGGTGGATGCTAGGAATACTAATGGTGTGCCCTCTGACCCATAGCCTACTAGCTGTCTGACCTTGGACCTGTGGATTCATCCCCCAAGCCTCAGTTTCCTGAGCTGTAAATTGGGGGTAACAGTACCCTCTGCAAAGGGTTGGAACACTTAGTAAAGAAAATGTATGTGATGTGCTAACAATGTTTGGCAAATAATAGATATACTCAGTGGTATTTTATTTTTTAGCTTCAATTGCTCACAATCTCTGAGACAAAACCCAGTGTGACAAGTGCTATAATAATATTAGTTTTGAGAAGCTGGAAAGACTAGCAACATCTGGAAGGCTTGAGGAAGTCTCCCCAAGGAAGGTGACTCCTTTTTTTAACTTACCCCTTATTAATAGTGCCTACTATGTGCGTTCAGTACATTAACTCATTAAATGCTGTAGCAACTCTGTGGGTTGGGTATTAATGTCCTCAGTGTGAGGATGAAGACCCAGCAGAGGCTCAGATGCTTGAAGTGTGATCAGCCCACAAGGTGGAGGACACAGATCAGGTAGAGCCCATGAATACATCTACAAAGACCCTAAAGAGTACAGTATATGGGGAAGTCTCTGTCCACATATATTTACATGTTAACAATCATGTATTTGTAATTCGAAGGGCAATTGTTTTCATTCCATATTTTATGGTATTAGAAAGTAACATGTCACCAAATATTTATGGATCCTATCTACAGTGTGCCAGGCAATGCACTGCTCCTTAATGATACCCAGAAGCAAATAATATGACCCAGTCCCTTTAGCAGTACTTCACTTGGTAAAAGAGACAGAAACATACAGTGGCCCATTATTGAGTATTTTTTTTCTATGCCAAATACTGTGCTGACCTCTTTAGGTACATTAGCTCACTGAATTCTCATACTAACCCTTTGAAATAAGATTTATTATCCCTGTTTTACAGATGAGGTTATGTAGCCTTAGAGAGGTTTGTAATTTATCCAAACTCATACAATTAGGAAGTGTTTAACTTGACCCCACACTGTGTGACTCTAAAGCCTATAGATTGTTTTAACACAATCTAATACTGCCACAACAAAACTTAAGAGAAAATTATACATCCTAAAATAGAAGTATGAGTAAAGTACTAGGAACACCAAAAAGGAAAAGAGAGAACAATTTTCAGACAAGTGTCATGTGTTCTGAATCTTGATAGATAGCTAAATGTTTGCCAACTACAGCAAGCTCCGAAGGGGCACGCTGGGCCTGGAAACAGCGCGGCATACATAGAATAGTTTAAATGAACATGGAGTAGTTGTTTTATTTCAAATAGTTTATGCTGGATTTTTCTAACAGCAATGTGTATGTCCCTCAACAACTTTAAAATCAGTAAGCAAGAAATACTATTTGAAAAAATTTAATGACTATTATATACATCGTCTTGAATTATTTAACAGTCCTTTAACATTTTCACAGTCTACTTATAACAATCTGTAGCATGTGGAAAAAAATACTATATTTACCAGTCAAATTAAGGAAGAGCGTAAAAATATGATAAGCAATACCCACTACTTGGGGAATATTTTTCCATTGCAAATGGTAATATTAATTAGCGCAGCCTTTTTCTAAATATGTTGGCAATATTCTATAACCTTAAACCTTTTCATACCATGTACCTAGTAATTCCACTTCTAGGAGCTTGTCCTATGGAAATATCAGACGTTTGCCATAGATGTTTGTTGTCAAAATTTGAAAATTTGAATGCCCAGTTATATGGAAATGCTGAACAACTTGTCCCTAATACAAAATGAAATATTACACAGCTTTTCAAACTAACAATTATGAAGAGTATATTAGCATGTGAAAACATTGGGTTTCAAATTTGTCTCTACAGTATGATTATAACCATAAAGGGGTGGGGTGAGAGAAAACTTTGCACAGGTAGGGAAAAAAGAATGGAAGGAAATGTACTAAAATATTACCATTGGTTATGTTTGGTGATAAGACAGAGGTTGGGAGGATTTGGGTTTTTGGTTTTTTGTTTTTTTTTCAGATTTTCATTGGTTTCTTTAATGAACCTGTATTACTTCAATGAAAAAGCAAGTAAAACATCTAGGCCTCGAATAGCATATCTCAAACCAATGGTTGCTAGACCTAAGAAAGTGGAACCAAAGAGTCAAACTGAAGGCCTTGGAGTTGTACTACCAAGGTGTTCCTACCTGCTGCTGTCACCAAGTTGTTTTTGTTCTCTGCATAGGGTGTTGTTGATGGATAATTTTGAGCATGAGTAGCCTATAGTGCACAAGGAAAAATCCACCTTGAACGGCTTTAATTACTTACAATTTGCTTGGTCACTTACATTTACCCTGTTTCAAGTCCTGTTGTATAGGAAAATAAACATCATTTTGAATGGCATACATTTATCTTAGTTTAGTTTTCTTTGTCCTTTATAATTTAGGACTACTGGCTTTTCCCACTCTTACTATCCAAAAACCTATACATCAGTTTTATAATGACGAGGGTAAACAATATAAACTGCTCCTACCTAAAATATAATTTCAACCAATAGTAATCAAAAATTGGAAACAGTTTATTGTACTACTTGGAAAATCACTAAAGAATACTAATTCTTTAAAGAGGCATTTTAAATGTATACTACTTTTTATTTGTCAAAAAAAAATCAGACACTCAAAAGTATATTTTAATGTTAGAAATGCACATTTGATGCTTTTTCTCAAGTATTTGTTTGGCATTTTAATATGAATAATTTTTTAATGGACTCCTACTTTATTTTTATGATTACTCAGTTACAAATTATAGTAGATGCATTTTTTAACATGTTTATATAACATCCTTTATATAGTAACACTTGGAATTTAGCTGGTTTTAAATATTTTATTGTTTTTCCTTACAGATCTCTAAGCAAGAACAAAAAAAAATGGATACATTTGATGGAAGCATGGCTGAAACCTCATCTCGGTACAGTGGTGCTCAGGATAGTGGAATCGGCAGTGACAGCGTTAAAATCAGAATAGTACAAATAGAGCAACACAGTGGTACCAGTCAGCATCGCATTGCCCGTCCCTCACGCCAATCATCAATTGTAAAAAATCTCAACTTTATTCCCTTTGACATATTTATTACTGCAAGTAGAATCTCACTCATGACCTACTCCTGTACTACGTTACCCAAATCGAAATCACAAAAACCGAAGGATAATGAAAAAACAGACAAGTGTTCATTGAATCTCCCAGAAGTTGATTCAGATGTTGTTAAGCCCAGCGAGGCGTGTATTTCCATGGTAACAGCAGAAGATCTCAGCAGCAGCAGCATATCTTTTCCTTCAGGGAAGAAAGTAGGGGCCATCTCTCTTGAAAGTCTTCATGCATCCACAAGGTCTTCTGCTAGACAAGCACTTGGTATAACCATCGTTCGCCAGCCGGGACGAAGAGGAACTGGCGACTTGCAGCTGGAACCTCTTTTGTACTTGATTGTCTCCCAACCTTCTTTGCTTCTGAGTTGTCACCACAGAAAGCAGCGAGTGGAAATGACCATTTTTGATGCTGTGCTTAAAGGGGTAGCCTCTGATTACAAATGTACAGGTAAGAGCCTTCAGCTTTACTGGAGTGCTACTAACTACTATTATTACATATTAAGTTTTATTCTCAGTTTCAAGATTGATCAAACAGAAAACAGCTGGCAAACTAGACAATACTTCTTTTCTCTGCAGAGAAATATGTAAATATGGAAAGTTCATGTCCTACAGCTGAATCATGTTTAAGTAAATGTTTGAAATGTATCAAGGTTTAGCCTTCATGTCCTTACCATGCCTCTGAATATTCATTTTTTTAGGAGCTAAATGAAATGGGCTCTTTCTGTAGAAATGCTTAACAATATCCAGTGATTGGGAAGCAAAGCTTTTTTTCATATTAATGGCTTATAGGTACGCTTCCCCTGTTAACGCAACTGTTCTGGTAAGAAAAGAACCTTAGAAAAGTCAGTTTATTGTTTTGGTATTCTTTTGACCTAATCATTATACTATGTCAGGATAATAGTAAATGTGCTTGAGAAGGTTTATTATTAAATTAAGATGATGTGAAGATTTTTGTATGTCTACAACAAACACGTTTATTAGTGGTGTCGGCCCGCTGGCTCTTGGTGCCCCATCTATACCTTCCTTATAACCAGAGAGCATCCTATGTTATAATAATTATATTGAACTTCTTAAGCTTGTTGCTTTTGAGACTAGGAAAGGGATCAGGGATTCAGATTTAAGACACACTGGCTATTAAGTAACAAGGGCTAATGGAAACAGGTCAAACAAGGTAGAGACCTTTTCCCTGAGATAATGCAGAATTAGAGATTTGGCCTGAAAGACTGGAGAGGGTTGCCGAGTCATCTAAGACTTGGCGTTAGAAGAGAGCCCTCGCAAGCTCAGGTCTAGCTCAGGCATTTTATTGCTATCATGTGGTCACATCTAGCAGATGGAAGCCAGCAGTGAGGGATTTGGAGAATTTGTCCAGCCTGGAAGTAGGCTGGTGTGTTCTTGGCATGAAGGGGAACCATTTTACACAGCAGGTTCCTGGAGAGTGGATGACAGGCATGAGGATCAGGATTCAGCCCAAGAAGTAAGGTCGAAGGGGCCCTTGGCTCTTGCTGAGGTTGGTGCAAGTCCTCTGCTTTAGAAAAGGGTAACTGGCCAGTTACTGAGGAGAGTAGCCTCGGCTCACCTCCTCGACTGCCTGCTGGCTCTTCTTCATTGCTGTGCAGAGCTGGTTAATACTGGCCTGTAAGAGTCAATTGTTAAATTTTTAAGAACTTTAAAATTAGACAGGTGTTAAATCACTGGTAGTTTAAATCGGCCATAGTGAGAGTATTTATGCCACAGATCCTGGCAAATGCTATCAGTTAATCAGCTTTTTTATTCTGAGAGCCAGTTGTTAAACATTTACCAGCAACCACTGCCTCCCTTTCTCAAACATGTCCTCATTTACTGAGTACCTACCGTTCAGGGGCACTGGAGAGGGGAGTGGTGCTGAGGAGGGGAGGGATACAAAGACTCATGCCTGTGTACCTCATATCTGTTTGGAGTCAGCTTAGCGATGGCCAAAACTGGGAGAATGAATCTTAATTCCAAGCCCCTCCTTAAGTTTTCAGCTGCAGTCACTTTATAGGTGGGTGACTTTAGTGGCCTCTACTAATAGTAGAGATATTTATACTAAATTTAGCAAAGTTATCAGGGCTCATATCAAAGATGTACATTTGAATCAGTTCTTAGGTCAAAATAATAAAGTACTTTTTGTTTTAAATGACATCCTTGTATACAGACCAACATGGAACCCAGTCATGGGGCTGACTTTCTAAGAAAGGTCAAGGAAAAGTTAAAATCATCATGAGTTAAAAATGAACGAGTAACATGTCTTTCTGCAGCGTTCATACATCAGGTCCTCAGATAACGTCATTTCATTCAACATTATGTTGTTTTAATGTTGATGAGATACTGTAAAAACTTAACTCTTGTTTATATCAATTAGCCTATGATAAAATTGGTTTTCTTACATGCTGTTTTGCTTAAAGTTGCAGAACCTAAGTGAGGACTTACTGTAGTTTCTCTCGATGCAGAAATTAATCCTTTTCCATAAGGTAACTGAAGTGATAGCCAACCAATAGCAGTTTTAGTATATATGTGCATCTCAGTGATTGCCTCATTTTAGTATGTCAGACACGCCTGAGGTGGGTACAGTGATAATGGGTTTTCTTTTTTTGAGAGGACAAAAACATTTGATGGTAAAAAAATTTCTAGCACAGTGTGGCTTGTAATTGTTTATTATTTTCTATGCAAGTCATAAACCATTATTATATGTGTTCAAGTTCCTTTGTATGGAAATCATATGGAACAAAAAGTAAACAAATGATTTTGTTTCACTCTCTAAAAAGGCTTATGTTTAAAGGATAATTTTCAAAAAAAATATAATATTTTATATAAATATAAAAGAAAATGTCAAGGATTTTATTTAACTCACTAATTAATAAGGGAACCAGTAAGAATGTTACAAAGAAATTCACACACAGGAGACCTCTAAGGCATCTCAGAGATTTTGATTCTAATTAATTAGGGTCCTAAGAATGATTAGAGCTACTTGATCATTGACTTTATTCATTGTTAAAGCATGGCTCTGGGAGATTCTAGAAGATGGAAATATTTTTAGCATTAAATTATGAAGATTTGGTTTCATTTGACATGTTCATTTGAAAGCAAATACTAAAAATCCTTTGAGCATTGTTGGAATATGGTGTAATATCCCAAGGTAACTACTTTAAATTAATCTACATGGTTTTAAAAATCACACTTACCCTCCTGTCTTGTACAATCAACTTGACATTATTTTAGAATGAACCTCTTATCCCTATTGTGCTTTCGTTTCTACATTAACACAACCTTTTGGAATAGTCATTCGTTCATTCCATTTGAACCCTGGCTGTTTATCAGACATGTTCAAGATGCTAAGGAACCAGTAAGAAGACTCAATGCTGCATTCAGACACCTCTCTTCATTTAATAATTATTATGATTTATGAACGTTTAGCAGAATTTGGATCTTCATGATATGGAGGGCTGTGCCAGAGAAGCAATGTAGAAAAGCTTAGTATCAATTGTATGTGATTGTTTCAGGAACAATGCTTGAATACAGAGGAATGAATGAAATAAGACTACTCTTCAAATTAATTTTATTAATTATTTATAGATGGAGCTTTAGCTGCATTTCAGGATAATTTTTAGTATTTGTTTTTTGGCTTTTTTTTTTTTTGCAATATATTTTGGTGGTTTCTTGGGGCATTCCAATATACGTGCCTAATTTAGCAGTAACATTTTATTACTTCAAGGAAAATAGAGACATCTTAAATCATATGTATTTCTTTACTCTTTCCCATTTATGTTATATTTATTATATATGCTACATCTGAATATATTGAAAATCCTACCAGATAAGATTTTGATTTTTGTTTCAATAATCTTACATATTTTAAAGAAGGGAAATGAGTATATTTTATACTTCCCAGGTATTTACCACGTTCAGAGCTCTCTCTTCATTCCTCACGTTCTTAGTTTTCCTCTGATACATTTTCCTTCAGCATTAAGAACATCTTTAGCATTTCTTTTACAGCAGACCTACTGGCAACCAATCTTAGTTTTCCACTATCTGAAAGTGTTGTTTTCTCTCTCTCATATTCCTGGAGGCTATTTTTGCTGAATATAGAATTCTGAGTTTCCATATCTTTTAGCACTTCAGAGATATTGTTCCACTGTTTCTGTCCAGTGTGGTTTCTAAAGACAAACCCATGTTAATTCCTGTTAATGTTTCCATACATGTATTGTTTTTCTCTAGCTGCTTTCAAGATCTTTTTCTTTTTTTCTTCTTTTTTTTATTTATTTTTTTTTAAAGATTTTTATTGGGGTATTGGGGGGAAGGGAACAGTGCTGGGGAATTGGGGGAACGGGAACAGACAAGTTGCTGTCGTTTTGCTCTTCAGTCTAGTTGTGGAGGATGTTGCTTCACTGGCCCAAGTTGGCACCATCATTGCGCTCTTCCTGGCGAGGCAGATCAGTCCCCGGCTTCTGGACGGCCGCTCACTGCGGGTGCTGGCAGTTCACGCTGGCTGCTGGCTACACACGGTAGCCCATGGCAACCCACTGCAGCAGGGGCTGCAGCCTACGCCGTCGCTGTCGACTCACAGCAGCCCAGCTCCAGGTCGAGTTGCTGTTCAGCATCTTAGCTGTAGAGGGCAGTGTCACTGGCCCTCATATGTGGGATCCGAACCGGGGCCCTCTGGAGGCCCAAGCCAGCTCTTAACCATCGCGCCACTCGGCCGGCCCAAGATCTTTTTCTTTATGTTTGGTTTTCTGTAGCTTGATTATGATGCATCTGGGCTTGATTTCTTTGAATTTATCTTGTCTGAGGTTCTCTGAGCTTCTCAACTCTGTAAATATAGTTTTGTTTTGTTTTTTAATTAAATTTAGGAACTTTTTGGCTATTATTTTGAAAATATTTTTCTGTACCAATCTTGCTCCTCTCCTTTTGGGACTTCAATGTTAAACTACTTTATATTATCCCATAGATCATGAGACTCCTTTTTTTTTTCTTTTTTCCTCTCTGTTCTTATGGGATAATTTCTATCAAATTTTTCAGTTTTAAAATTTTCATTTGGTTCTATGTAGTTTCTTTTCTGAAAACTATATTTCCATTCATTTCAAGTGTGTTTACCTTTACCTCATGAAACATAGTTATAACTCCTGCTAAAGTCTTAAATGCTTGTGTCACTGCCACCACAACACAGTCACTCACTGCACTACCTGTACGTACACACACACACACACACACACACACACACACACACACACACACGACCCACCGTTGGAGCGAAACCAGGAGAGAAAAAAAGAAAATAAAAAGCAGCTGGTTTCTCTTACACTCTTGAAACCACAGGGGAATTATTTCTTAAACCAGGTTTCTGTTGGACTTTTGGCTGTACTTGCCATTACTGTGCAGCACAACTTAGGACTCAAGTCAATGTTTTAAGAGAAAAGAGGGAAAATAAAACAA